AACACGTCACGCAAGATTGCAGACAGTTTAGACGATTTGCCTTCTGTGGGCTATGCTGCAGATATCGTCGAAGATGGATATTCGTCTACAAGTAGTGCTGATAGCACGTTCGTATGTTTTGCACTTGTTGGAAATCAGGATGACAAAAGAACTAAACGAAAATTGTATTCAAAACGTGGCCGAGTCGAGCGCGCTAAGAAGCATAGGTACAGCGATAAAGAACTTTTAAAGCAACGCGGTATCGAAGAAAAAGGTAGTGATCCTGGGCTCATGGCATGTGTGGTGACCGGGATTTCTGGGGGACCTTCTTTACGAGTCTTTCGCGATGAAGATTCGCATTGGCGGCCTTCAAAATCAAAATCAGGGTCTTTAGAATATCTTCACGAATGTACGAAACCTTTGCACAGAGGAATCACTAAGAGTGGTGCAAGTGATTCCGATGGCTCAAGTAAATCATACTCCCAGAAAAACAGAAACAGGGCAAACAGCCGTGACTCTGTGTTTGCTCTGTTTTCATCACCGGGAACATCTAAAGGAAAGAACAAAGAAACTGAGGGTGGCCAAAGAAAAGTAGATGAGGACAAAACGTACCCCAACTCTTCACGAGGTACCGACTCTGACCAACGTGTGTCACCAGCGCTTTGTGACGCTGAGAATGAATTCATAAAATCTTCAAAGGAAAGCATACAGTCTAACGTTCTGTTCAATCAGGAAACAAGTGAAATTCATAGGGAGGGTCCGCGCTGTACTGATGAACTGTATCCCTCCTCATATATTAAAAGCGACGAAACGATACCTCGCTTAAATGAATATGAAAAACACCAGAATTCACTTAAAAGTACAAGTGAGCCAGATTTAAGGCAAATTGCCTATCGAGAAACACAGAGAAAAGCTATTCCTGTAAAGCTCCAGTCGACTAAGAGAGAAGTTGCTTCGAAATTTACCCGTGATTTTTCTTCGAAGCATCAAAGACCCGTGCGAAACCAGCAAGAAAAAAAGGAAAAGAAAGTTAAAGACGCGATGAAACCCGTTGCTCAGAACTCAGAATTAAATACACAGGGAAAAAAGAAAATGTCTGGAGAAACGGATTCACGTTGGCCGCCAGATGATCAAAATCGGAGAGACAGGATATTTAAATATAGAAGAGAAGAAAAAATCGGAGATCCCCCCGAGCCACATAGAGAATCAGTTATTGGGAATATGGTTGATCCTAACAAGTTGCAGCAGGATCCTCAAGTAGCCGGAATCGTCACAGTAAACAAAGAGCTTGCCGTTGAGCAGGAAAACATTTGTAAAGAAAAAAAGACCGAACTTTTGACTCCTGTTAGACAAGCTATACGTTCAACAATAGATACCTACCTTTCAGATGACGGTGGCAATGGTCATGAATGGAAAATTATGTCAAAAGGAGAAGATCAACAGTGCTCGAATATTCCCGAGAATGTATTTCATGACGCTGAATCGGAACGTTTTCCGGACAAAGCTCAATGGCAAAAGGCTGCTGTGAAAGAAACGAAAGGCGTTCAGTCCAGTTCAACTTGTAACAAAAGCCAAACACTCGAGGAAGAAAAAACAAGTCGTAAAGAGAACGTTTCTGCACCTTACATCTCAGCTCTCGGTCAACAAAGTGCTCACACGCAATCAAATAAAAGAACAAGATCCACTGGCGACAAACCAGCAGTGCGCCCCACTAAAGAAAGCAAAAGTCATTTGGAGGCAAGACCAGCTAAGTCTAGCGATGGTTCCGCAGACTCCGTAGCACCTAAAGAATCAAATTCACGACGAAAATCTCCTAGCAAACCTGTCGGATGTTTGAATGAGGCGACCGAATATACCAAAAGACCACTG